TAACCTCAGTCCAATCGTGAGAAAACACTAGCAAACCAAAATGAAGATGCTCTGTATACAGTAACCACCAGGACTTTCAGAAGGGTCATGAAAGACCCTTTCATGGTCACGAAAGACAAAGTCTGAGAACTATCAGATCAGAGGAGACTGGGAGGACGTGACAGCAAGTGCCCAGTGGGGCCCTGGATGGGCCCGGGGCAGGAAGGCACAGCAGGGGACAGAGGGACTCCTAGTAAACCTGTAATTCAGCAATGTCAGTGCCATAACTGTGGCCAACGAGCCGGGCTTAGTAAGAAGCTAATGCTGAGGAAGCTGAGTGAAGAGGAGACAGGAACTCAGAACTGACTTGGCAACACTTCTGTAAATCTAAAACTATTTCAAAACTAAAGGTTGGGGTTTTTAAAGAGAAGATAAAATTGATTTGCTCTAAGAAAGACAGGAGAAACTCCAAGAAGGAAGAACCGACTGTGACTCCGAATCGAACCCTGCGAGCTGTCTGCAGTGTTGAGACGTAACCGAGGTCTGAAGGACCTCAAGCCCTACCTAGCCTCTCCTGTGTCGTCAGCACATGTGGAAAATCCTTGTTTCTACTCCTTCATCTCAAGAGACTCAAACACCAAACTGAATCCAACTCATAGCAACCACCACTGGGTTTCTGAGGCTGTAAATCTTCATGGAAGTAGATTGCCCTGTCTTCCTTCCGCAGAGCAGCTGGTGGGTTTGGACCACTGACCTTCTGTGTGAGAGTATGGGAAAATAGAGTGAGTGTGGACGAAAAGAGGATGGCGTGTTAACCATCGTGGGGTCGCTCTGCCCTCATCCTTACCGTGGGGGCGACTCTCGTGGGCCAGACCAGCACTTACTGGAATTCTTTGTGATGGATGTGGTAGGCCAGCTTCAGGAGGTAACTGAGAAACGTCCTCAAGAGGATCGTCGTGAACGGAGAATGGATGCCTTCGATCGGGGTATCACTGTCGGCTGGAAGAGGAAAACCCGAGAGGCTGCCTCGCAGTCCCCAACCCTTCCGTTTTATTTGCCCCTGGAACGTGGTTCAGAGAGGCCATCTTGAAAGAGGACTTGTTTGCTAGAGAACGCACTGGACAGTACAGAAGCATCTACCTGAAAATTAAGTTCCACGCGAGACGTCTCTGTCTGGTCCGTTTCAGAAACCTCCATTCAGTGTTTCAAATTGGCCTAAACCACAATTTGATCAATGTTCCAATTCTGAAGGAGTTGCACACCTGTTACAAGCACTTATATTTGAAGGCATTTGGGTTTCTTCCTAACGTTTTACTTCTCTAACCTCAGACTGTTCCCAGTTCTCCTGATCCTTTTTGCTCCTCGCCCACTTTCCTCACATCGGGGGTGGGCACATTTTCAGCTCTGGTGCTTTCAGGCAAAAGCAGCCACAAACATCATGCAGGCAAATGGGCTCTGGTGGCATAGTGTCTAAGGCATCTGACTGCTAACCAGAAGGCTGGTCGTTCAAACCCACCAGCCACTCCCCGGCAGGAAGACTAGTCAATCTACTTCCATAGTGATGCTGCCTCAGAAACCCGAGGGGTCACTGTGAGTCAAATCGACTCAACAGCAGTGGGTTGGTTGGTTGGCTGGTGTTCCAATAAAACTTTATTTACAAAGAACAGGGAGTTTGGCTACAGGCTGTTCTTTGCTGACCCCGTCAAAGGGTCACCATGAGTCAGAAGTGACTCCATGACAATAGGTTTGGTTTTGGGTTTAATAGATAGCCTTTTACTGCTGCCTACTCTTTCACAGGAGTCTCTGAGTGGTGCAGTTAATGTGTTCAGCTGCTACCTGAAAGACTGGAGGTTCAAGCCCACTCAGGTGCCTTATAGGAAAGGCCCGTCAATCTCCTGCTGAAAACCCAGCCACCGAAAGCCCTGGGGGGCACGGTTCTCCTGACCCACGCGGGGCTGCCACGCGTCAGCCTGTGTCATCTGAGACTTCTCCTTTTATGTGTGCAGTAAGCTCCTTGAGGACACAACCGCGGCTTAACTTCTTGAACGCCTCTCCCCATGCCTGCCGCCCCTACTCCCTCAGGGTTTCTCCGCTGCCTTACAGGGTGGGCCTGTGGCATGCTGCCCCTTAAGCTACAGGACCTCAGGGACCTGGACCACTCACCACTGAGCAGCCTGTCCATATCGGCAAGAGTCAGTTTGTGGTGATGGAATTTGCAGTCTTTGAGGAACCTCCAGAAGTGGAGCCTGGTCATCAGGAAGGTGTTGTCCAGCGAGTGCGCGCAGCCCAGGCTGCTGTAGAAGCCGTAGATTCTCCTCAGCTCCGTGATGTTTCTCAGGACAGCGAATTCCACCTGAAAGCAAGGGGGCCCGCACCTTCAGCTCCCCGGTGAGGAAGAGGGAGGCCGACAGCGGCTTTCAAGATGAGACAACACGTGAAAGTAACAGCGTTTACCTCCTACCACAACACGAGGTCCATGTGCCCACCCGCCCGCCCCAGGTCAGTAAGGCCCAGTTCCTGCACAACGTGAGCACGCCCTGTCTGGGGGCGCCCCTGCCAGGCTACCGTGGGAACCGTGAGCACGCCCTGTCTGGGGGGCACCCCTCCGGGCTGCCGTGGGAACCGTGAGCACGCCCTGTCTGGGGGCGCCCCTGCGGGCTGCCATGGGGACCGTGTGCACGCCCCATCAGGGAATGTCCCTGCCACGCAGCTTGTCTGAAGGGCAGCATGGCAGCTCTATTGCCTCCATGAACACACACGTTATCAGCACATCGATTCCAGCAAAGTATAGAAATAAGAATACATCACCACCAACTGGGGTGACCTGGGACTGCGAGACTGGTTCCCCACGTGACGCCAGTCAGCGTAACGACCGTGTAGACAGAGTAAGGACCAACCACCGCCTGATCGTCATCACCGACGCAGCTGACAACGTAACATCCATTCGTGATCAACGCCCTCAGCACATCAGGGACAGAGGGCCTACCCTGATCGATGGCAGCTACAGAAACGACAGCAACATCATGCTTTGGGCTGCAAGTCTGAACTAAGCCAAAGGAGGACGTCTTGCTTTCCTTGCCTTTCTGTCCCCATTTGGCCTTCCCTGGACGACCGTGTCCTCTGCTGCCCACCTCCCCCACATAGGCCAGCCCTGCAGGCTACACAGCATGTGACGATGGATTGGGGAAGGGGTCCCAGTGGAGACAGCAAAGCTGCACTGGCAGTTTCCTGCCCTCAGCGTGACCTCTGCTTTATAAAATCCAGTTCCACTGGAAAAAAAAGGCGGGGAGCAGGTTTGCTGGCCTGATAGAGCCTGGTGGAACCACTGAGACTATGGCCTGAGCTGCCCTTCAGGTCTGGAATTGAACCCACACCCGTGGCTTCCAGCCAAACAAAAGATAGGCATATGGGCTGAACAATTACATTAGGTAGATACACTCCTTGCAGAGAACAGTCATGGGAGAAAGAAGGGCTGTGTATGCACAGGGAGACAGCTCCGGGGGCAGGAGTGCATGGAGGGATGGACACAGGGAAGAGGTGACTATCGGGAGGAAGTGGGAGGGGAGCTGTTGCATTGTGGGAAATTATACTCAATGTCATGAGACAAAGTGTGTGTGAGCTGCTGTATAGAAAGTGAATTTGCTCTGTAAACTTTCACCCAAATCACAATTTAAAAAAAAAAAAAATCCATTTCCACTGGGTGATATTTAGAGCCTGTCAGACTGAGAACACTGCTCCCGACCAGAGCACGGGATCCACCTGTGGGAAGCTTAATCCTTGTAGAGAACACAAGTTGTTGTCAGGTGACACGGAGTCAGTTTTCAATTTGCCGTGACCCGCGTGAGACAGAGCAGAACGGCTCCGTAGGGCTGTCTAAGCCGTGGTCCCCACAGGGGTGGGTCACCAGGTCCTCCTCCTGTGGAGCCATTGAGTGGGTTTGAACCACTGACCTAATGGAAGACACATGATACAGAAGCCTCTAGACAGAGCCCCGGAGGAGGGGGGGGAGTCTACACAGGAGGCTTCCTGGAGGACGCCATGCCTGAGCTGAGCTTCAGAGAATGGAAAGGATGAGGGCCCACGGAGAGCACGCACCAAGTGGAGGGAGTGAAACAGGGTAGGGTCCTCCCTGAAAACTAGGAGGCCTGCCTGACCTGGAGCATGGCCTTCTCCTCCCTGCCTGGCCCCTGTCTGCAGCAGGGGACAAAAGCACCTGCGCCACTGGCTGTCAGGGGACTTGAGGACCGCAGGCATCTGGAACCACACCTGCAGCAGAGTGAGCGCTGTCCAGACGCGCTAACTGTCACACTGTGAGCTCGTGGTGAGGGGGAACGGAAGGAGGTGGAGGTCAGCTCACAGAAGGCCTGGAATGCCAAGAGGCACGATGAACTTGACAGGCAGAGGCAGCCTGCGGGGTGTGAAAGGATAGAGCTTGAAGCTTAGGGGGCCACCGAGCAGAGCCTGCTCTGCTGAGCCCAGAGTAGACACTTGCTCAAAAAACGCTGTGTTTGACCAAACTCTTCCACTGATGGATCATAAATACGTCCAATTGTGAGAAAACATAAACCTAAACTGATGGACAGTCTACAAAATGACCAGTTCTCGTCAAAAACCTCAAGGTCATGGAAGGATGAAAGATGGAGGAACTGTCTGAGGTTAAAGGAGAGTAAGACTAAGTGCAGTGTGGGGTCTGAGACTGAACTGTGTTTGTGAAAACAAGAAGGGACCCTGTGTGCACCGAGAATCTCGTAGCAGCTGACGGTCACGCTAGGGGCCTGGATTACAGTGGTGACCAAGGAAGACAAGGCGGGAGGAAAGTGGGGAGATGCCTCACTGTGGAGGCAAGAGGACTGGGGGCCAGCTGAGGGGCAACGAGGAAGTGGAAAGGGGCAGAGAGGCACGATGGAACAGCGGACAACACAGTTTCACGGAACAGTTTCACGGGAGAAACAAACTGTGAAAGCGGGCCCTGGTACTCAAGTGTAACCTGGTGACGTGGTCTGCCAGCTGCTAACCCACCGAGTCCAGTCACACAGATTTCTAGATCTCTGAGGATTTGGGGTTCTCTTGAACCCTCACAGCTCAATCACAAGCACACTAACTCACAGCAGAACAAACATCCTGCAGAGGGGTGGCCATAGCCTTGGCCTTCAGACCATCGCGTGTGAGTGGAGACTTGACCCTGACAGACTCAGAGGCTCTGGGTAACTCACAGACCCCTCCCCTGGGTTTGTTTCCTCATCAAGCCAGCTCACTCATAGGGGCACCTTGCAAATTGAACAGGATGACGTATGTACACCATCCATCAAGCACGTGGGAGATACTCAGTATATGACAGCAGTTACCAACTGCATTTCCCACAGCACCAATGGTGAACATGCCCAGCTGTTAACTGAAAGGCTGCAGGTACAAGTGCAGCCAGAAGTCCCTCAGAAGAAAGGTCTGGCAACCTACTTCTGGAAGATTGGCCATTAAAAACCCCACGGGGCACAGTTCTACCCTGACACACGCAAGGTCACGTGAGTTGGAAACGACTCAGTGGCAACTGGTTTGGCTTTGGTTTAAGATATGGGCCGTCATTTATGCAAAACCAACAGCCAATATTACCCTCAATGGAGAGAGACTGAAACCATTCCTCTTGAGAACAGGAACTAGACAAGGATGCCCGCTATCACCACTTCTA